AAATCTAAGCTGAACCATGCTTTATTTCTTATGAATTTAAAATATTTTTACAATCATGGTGGACTTAAAATAGAAATTGTCTACCCATATACTCTTTGTGTTCGGTAGCACAAAGAGTAAAGGCCGGTGAGTCATGGTTGCCATTTCTGGCGACGAGAGTGCCTTTGCTCTCTGGTTCGTGAAAACATCCCAGCAAAGGCTGGGATCATGTGTTGCACCCACATGGTCTCAGCATGCTGGGATTGAGGTGTCGATGTATGCGGATGAGCCCGCTTTGATCTGGTCCAATTCAAATTGAAGCCAGATCAAAGCAGGCTAATCCACCAAGAAAATGATATCTACGCAAAACCCTCTTGGACATTTTTTGAAGAATAAAAGGGCAAAATGGGTATTACAATATTTATTTTATATCAGATTTCTATTTGAGGGATGTTTCCGCACAATGTAAAAAAAAAAAAAAAAAATTAGGGGTGTTTTTTGCACATTTTTTCAAATAGGGATGAAAGTGTTACGCAGAGTATACATTAGGGGTGTTTTCTGCACTTATACTTTATCTTTGTAGTTGTATAATAAAATTTTCAATTAAATTACTGATGCATTTTTTTTTTTGGAAAGGTAAATTAGTATGTCTTTTACCATCATATGAGTTAACTGTGAGATATTAATTTGTAATTAGCATATTTCTTGTCAAAACGAGTCTGATCGAGTTATAAATTTTTTCGTACAATTTATCAATACTCAAGATCGGAAGTGGAATTGAAGATTGATCATGTCTATAATTCGATACACTCCGTGATGATGAGAACAATACTTTAGAAAGGTAAGAGAGTATGTGAGGACACTTAGGAGGTTCAAGATTAAGTTTTTGGGAAGACTTTACATTTTGCCCAACTTGAATTGGTTCAAGTTCTTGGAACATGTTCAACTTTTGAGGCTTTTTAGTGTTTTTCAAGTCTGGCCAACTTGAACCGGTCCAAGTGTTAAAGTTGTTTTGCAAGAATTTGCTACTAGCCAACTTGAACCGGTTCATAGCTGAACCGGTTCAAGTCTTAATTAGCAGATTTTTATAACTTAGTTTCCTACTCTATTTTGACTTTCTATTTTACATAAACTTTACTATAATGATTATGCATGAAATTGACTTGTTTTCCAATTTTAATTAGGTTTTCAAAAGTCCATAAAAACATTTTTTCTCACTTAGGGTTTTACGGCTTTTTGCATACAAATTCCATTTTAATTAAAAGCCATCTTTGTGAGAGTTTTTTGTATTTTTCATTGAGAGTAAACACACTATACACACGAGTGATTTAAGGTGTTGTTCTTATTCTAATCGGAGTATGAGGTTGAAGATATCAACAATATCGATTAGAGAAAGCGGAATTCATTAATTCTTCATCAAATTCGGAATTAAAGAAAATGGGTGAAACGATCACACTTTGAAGGGGCCAAAGCATTCGTGAAGTGTTGTTTGATCTACCAGCAATCCTTCTACAGAGATCAAGAGTAAGCCTGAGGTCGAGAGCTATTAGATGGGGGAGTTGCAAAGCTAGGGATTGTCAGCAATTAGTTTTTGGCCGAAAGAACGATAGGGTGTGAGCCTGAGTTAAAGTTCAGTTTATGTTGTTTCAAACATAGTGGATCGTTTTGCTCTGGACGGCATAATCCACGGAGTTTTTTCATAACAATTGGTTTCTTCTATCAATCGGGGTTTCCTTACTAAAAATCCTGGTGTCATCTCTCAAACTTTATTTACTTTACTTGCATAATTTTTTTCTTTGAATGTTATTTAATATTGGAAAAAAGAGCCAATTGAACCTATTCATCATCTATAGGTTATTTATCTATATTATATTCCACATCCATTTCGAATTGTGCAACTCACATTAACTATTTATATTACATGCAAACAAATAATAATAAGAAGAAAAATAATAATAATAAAAAAAGACCCCAAAAGAGAGACATTCAATCAAACAACAATTGCGAAAAATAAAATACAAAAAAAAAAAAATCACTAGTAAAGCCCGGTTAAACACTTTGTAAATTATATATATATATATATATATATAGTAAGAGTTACAAGAAAACTCAAGCAAATTTTCATTATTTGCATTCAGTTTCTATAAAGGTCTTTCTTGGTGTACAGTGACTTGTGGTCATATTGGAAACCCATTTTTTTTTTTCCTTTTCTAATACAGCATAATCACCTTATTTTATGATTTCTAAACTAATATTATTAATTTCTTATATACTGAATTTGAAGATTTTAATTCCCATATATATATACATATACAGTAGTGTTCAATTGCTCCGTGGTGAGCAAGGAGTAGCATGCTCACTTTTAATTGTAACTTTATTGAAGAAAATAAAATTTATCTATAGTATTAGTTAGTATGCCCTATTTCATTTTCTTATATACTCCTTTTGGTTTTAATAGATTGTGGAATCAGTAGTTATGTGCATCTATGTAGAAATTTTGATCCTTATTCTGGATGTTTGTAAGCATGGTTTTATGTAATGATTTCTTTGTTTACCAAGAAAAAAAATAATTAAAAATTATGGAATCAGTAAAAGAGTTTGCTCAGATTATGAAGGACCTATCAATCCGATTAACCAATTTCTAGGGTTTCTCTAATGATTGAAGGTGACAAATTGAATTTATGGCTCCAAACAGGGCACTATTGTTGACACAATAGACTACATCATTTATAAGGTGCATCATCAGTTGAGGAGGGTTTAAAATAGGTGTAAAAGGTCTTCCTACTCTTTCTTTCCCTCTCCCTGGGTGGTTCAATAAAATTTGAGGCCTTAGGCGAAAAAAATAAAGTAGCCTTTTAATTAAATCTATCCATATATTTATGCCAGCTAATTATTTGTTTAGTGATTTTTAAACCTATCACTAAAAATTTTCCTAGCTCTAATTCTATGATTAATTAATTGGTTATGTGCTTTCTAATAGTCATATTTAACAATATAAATAAAATTTATATTTTTGTGATAACAAAATTTAATAAAACTATAAACTAATTTAAGTTATAGAATAATAAAAACTAATTTTGAATAATTTGGTCTAATGCTCCAATAAATTCTTTATAAGTGTATTCAAAATCTTCTTCCGGAGTGAGATTGTAAATTGTAACGGTAGAGAGGATGAAAAAATAAAATTTATAATGAGAAAGGAGAAAAAATATGAGAGGATCAAGACAAAAAAGAGAAAATAAAAATTAATAGGAGTCTTTGAAAAATATAGAAAGTTTCACCAATTTTCACTTAAATATGTATTTAATATTTAATTTTAATGTGTGTGTAATTTATGTTGATGTAATGAGAATGAGAGAAAAAAAAAAAAAGGGATAGAAATATTTTGCACACTATTAAATTTTGTATTTGTTGAGGTTTAATGATGTAAGAAAATAAAATATTTAAGTAAGTTAAAATATATAAAGAAAAAAATTTAGGGGGCCCTCAAAAAAATATATAGAATAGAAATTTTTTAGGTTAATTGTCAAATTTCTCTATACGTTGAAGTTTAATAATTAAAGGAAATACTACAATTGTGTTTAGGAAAGTTATAATATATAAAGAAATAAAAAATTATGGGGCCTTCTTATTGGTTGTGCTAAGAGCTTCCTGTTTTTATCTTTGGATCAAAAAACATAATTAATCAAAGCTGGTTGAAAAATCAGAGTGATCAAAAATAAAATTTAAGAAAAATAATCATATATGTGAGGGAAACAAAATCAATAAAAATGTGGCAGACTAACTAATAATAAAAAGAGCCATGACTATCTAATTGTTTTGTTGAAAGGATGAACCAGTGGCTTCCCATCAATTGTGATTTTCTTAAATTTTATATTTTCAATCAATTATGATTTTAACAAACAAATATAATCATGATTAATCGTGTTTTGTGGGGCAAAGCTCTTTTACGATGAAGAACGTACCGTGATTTTTTTTTTTTTTTTTCTAAGATTTCATTTCCATCAATAAAGTTGTACCCTTTTGTCTATTTATTCCAATTAAAAATTTAATGGTAATAAAAAAATTTAAAAGTTTCCTAAATTATTACAAATAAAGGATATTCGTTGGATTAAATCCAACTGCTATAATTAAAAGTGAGCATACTACTCCCTACTCACTAGGGAGCTGTTGAACACTACTGTATATATTATATTATATTATATTATATTATATTATATTATATATGGTGAAATATTTGATTTTTCTCCCAAACAATAATATTGCCTCTTCATCTAATTTTTTATTTTTTTTAATTTGTTTATCTGAAACTAATAATTAGTTTTACCTAAGGAAATATTATGAAGTTTTATTCTAAATATAAATAATAAAAATAAGTACAAACAATTATATATTTGAATTTAATAATCCATCATTTTACTTCACAAAAGTAGTCATTTTAGTATGAATAATCACTTTCTTTTCACTTTCATACTATCCAAACTAACAAATGTATTAATATTTTTCTACAATTTTCTTAAATAAATTTTCATACTAACCAAATGCATGCTAGAAAATTTCTTTTCTTTTCATTCACTTCATTTTTCTTTCTCTTTTTATTTGTTTTCTTTTCTAACTTATTTCTATCTAATCAAAAAATCCTAAGAAAAGGTACAAGTACAGCCCAAGTAGCTAGCCCAATGCTAACTACGTAAAGATTATACAAGTACAGCCCAAAGGGCCAGTGGGAAAGATAAGCATTAGAGCCCAAATACCACCCCAGCAAACGGAAGTGTAAGATAATGAAGATCAACACAGCAATCGGGTGATCATGGAGAGTGATTCCAGCAATGCAATGCGCAACTACTGTTTGGTAACTACTGTTTTTTCGTAGATAGCCTAAAAACCCTACTACCCTCCTAAAAACCCTACCCGTAATTACTGTTTTTTCGTAGATAGCCTAAAAACCCTACCCTCCTAAAAACCCTTCATGCATAAACCCGTGTGCCGCTACCGAGAAGAGCAGATAAAGCAGCAAGAAAATGGGAAGGAAGAGAAAACAAAGAAAGCCAACAATTGAAGGTGACACATCAAGTCTTCCAAGTGAAGTCATATACATCATACTCTTGAAACTATCCGTCAAGGCTCTGTTGCGATTCGGGTGCGTTTGTAAATCATGGCGTGATGTGATCTCTAAGCCCCAATTCGCGAAATCGCATTTCAATGAATCAATTAGGTTGGACCGTCTAAGACTCTACGACTACTCAGAGTTGCGGTACCATTATTTCTACTCCATAGGCTATGAAAGTTGTGAGGGTTCTGCGGAAAAAGTATCCTTTCCTGGTAAGAAGTATTGGAATGTTAGAGTGTGGTGTTCTTGTAATGGTTTAGTACTTTTGCATGTTCAAGATGACACGATGTATGTATTGTGGAATCCATCCATTAGAGCATGCAGAAAGTTCTCCTCTCCAACTCATATATATCACAATTATATTCCACATGGACTTTGCTATGATTCTTCCATGGATGATTACAAGGTGATATTTATATCGACATATGATGAATTCTTTGTGGTTTTTAGTTTCAGAGGTCAATGTTGGACAGAGCCTAGGAAATTCCCTTATTTGTGTTTTTCTGGCAACGCGGTCATTGCTAATGGTGTGTTACACTGGGTTGCTTTAACACCCACGGTTGCCAATGTGAGGCGAAACCTCTCTTTGGACTCTTCGAGTTCATCTGATAATGATAGTGATAACAATTCAAACACCGATATACTCCTATATGAGCATGATTCCACCCGAACATATTTGATTGTTTTCTTTGATACAGTGGAGGGCGTGTTCAAGGAGATGCCACCACCAAAATGTATAAAAGGAGGAGATATATTTAGTTTGACGGTTATGAAAGGATGCCTCGGTTTGTGCTGTAAAACCATTGATAAAGAACATGCTGAGGTGTGGACAATGAAGCAATATGGTGAGAGGAATTCTTGGACTAAGTTCGTTGTCATCCCACGTTGGCCAGGATCAAGCTATTTACATCAGTTGACGCCGTTGTGTGCTACTAAGAATGGCGAAGTTGTGATGACAATTGATGGAATAAGTATAAATGGAAGAAGTTTAGCCATCTATAATCCTAAGACAGGGAAGTACAGGAAGCTTGAGCCAGAAAAAACACGGATTCCAAAAGTGCTTTTATATGTGGATAGTTTAATTCTGCCCACTCGTACACCTCAAGTAAAAGGAAAGACGAAAAAGGAATTGTGAGGTAAATCACGTCATCTCTATTCTCTTCAATTAATTGAAGTTAATTGTTGTCCTTTGATAGTTGTGTTCGATATTAGTTATCAAAAGAAATATATATAGCTTTTCTTTGGAAAATGATAAATGTCATAATAGATGTTTATCACGGACTCATTTGGCAATTGTTGAACTAAACACGTTAGAAGGACAAAGACACTTATCTTATTGATTACATGAGCCATCAAAAAAACTGATTTGGACATTCTAGCTTTACTCTTTTTCTCTTGGTAGGAAAAAAATGATGTAACCCTTATGTTTTTTTGGGTAAATGGTAAGCTTGTATATAAGATTTAAGAATGTACATGGTGCCCCAAATAGGGGAAACAACACCCAAAGAACAAACCAAAAACTAAGGAACAAACAAGCATTCCAAAACAGCAACCCCAACTATGAAATACAAAAGGACAATTAGATTGACTTCACTGTTCTCAGTAATAATCAGTTTTAACCTCAGACTACTATCAACTTATCTTATGCTTAGCTAGGCGCAAATAGATTCAGTTATCTCGAATCATGCCTCTATCTATCTATCTATATATATATATATATATATATATATATATATATATATATGTATGTATGTATGTAGCTAAAGCCCTGTAGTTAATTTTAGGGATTAGTGAAGATAATCAAGGCATGCATGCATTAATGGTAAATAGAAACAGGAGTTGCAGGACTGGACTTATATGTGTTTTGGGTATATATCTATTTATGTTTTTATGTGCCTAAATATATATTGTAAGGTTGTAACTAATTGCATACATCTTGACAAAGTTCATATCTCATGCTGATTGACCTTCTATTTGACAATGTTATTTGCCATTTAAGTAAAATAGTATACACTTCAAGAAGCTTGGATAACTTTCTCAGCACTAGAAATTACTTCTCATTCTCTTTCTTCCTATGTAAAGGTACTTTTAAGTTTAATTTTAAATTCCTTGTGTGATTTTTTTCCCATTTCTCTCCTTTTTTATTTTTATTATGTGAATCTTATTTATTATTATTATTATTTTTTTTCTATCATAACAGAGAAAACAATTCGAGACACGTGGCAATTGGCAAGCACACACCAAGGTCTATATACCTAGGTTTGCTGATAGAGATCTCAGGAATTAGCAGAGAAACAATAAATTTTGGGTTAGCTTTATGTTTCATAGGGTATTTATTTTTATGTTTTGCAGTACTGACATTGTGATTTGTGAGGCACAGTAGAAGTTTGTGTCTTTATTCTGTTGTCTAAATATTGGTTTAAAGTATTTTTTGAACATCTTGATATTTTGACATTGACACTTCTCTAAGTTTATTCTCATCTAGTGAGGAAAAAAGGAAATTGTTTATTTTCTTGTATAGCGATGATGCATAAGAAACATGTTTTAGATTTGACTACTTTCAGATGTACGTCTTTGTCTGTATGTTTGTTTGTCGCTGGAGAAAGTATTCAATAGTAATGTTTTCATTCTATGTCGTAGAGAATTCTCCGGCAAAAATCTACTAGTCGAAGAAGTCTAAAATATAAGTTGCAATTAGCTTTGATTATATCCATTAATTAGGTTCACATTTTCTTTTGGGAGATTGGAAGTAAGGTTCATCTGGGGAGAATTTGTGCCTTATTGCTAGATAGCCATGCCCCTTCTCAACTTGGTGAGACACAGAGACTATTTTTGTTGATTTGGTGTACTCAGGATTACGAAAATGTATCATTTAGCATAACCTAAAAGAAAATTTTATGCTGATTTGTCATAAAGAAGACCTATAAAGCAAGTAGTGTACGTGGTATGGTATGATTTAGTCTGATTTTCTGATGCTATTCCTAAGCATATATGCTTTTGTGCTATGGGTGACTCTTTTAACCCCATCAATGGTGGGTGATTTCTCATGAAAGTTGTGTCTTCTGCAGAGAATATATATATATATATATATATATATATTTCGAAATGAGTATAGAGATGCTGTTTATATTCAAGTTGAAATTGTCGATCTGATCAGACATAAATCATTCTCAAAGATTTATAGCAAAACGGGTGGTTGGTTAGAGAGGGGAATCTCCGTATGAATGTTTTGAATTAATATTGGTTAACAATGCATGGCTTTGATATATGTACAGAATGGGTTCTTGTATCCTCTTTGATGGCTATGAAGATCACTTTACCATGTGTTCTAATGGCAAACATCTTTTTAAATCGAAGTAGTGGTTGCTCTATTATGTTTTTTGTTTCACTGATAACAAATTTTGGCAATTCTGTATCGTTTTGTCACCTATGAAAACCGGATTTTCACTAGCCTTGGCTCTGTAACCTATGTTTCCTAATTAAAAGTCTATTTTGGGTGTTGGTTTCCAGTTATTAGATTCAGTGATCTGTTGTTTGGAAGGAGTTCGACTTGCATGTGCTAAGCATATGCAGCCAGCGCTCATCCTGACCTAGGATCAAACTCTCCATGAGATTTATAGTTGCATTACTTATAGCTTCCTTGTTCAACAAAGCCGCATATCTAATTCTAATGTTGTGTTTATAAAATTGATATATTTGTCTCGTGTCAGTGAAGCAAAACATTTGTTCATTTTTTCTTGAACGGTAAAACAAATAATAAAACATTTGTTCCTCCAACAGAATATTGAATTTGGTAGTTTCCGAGTGTAAGGTTGTGGACTGTAATGGAATGTTACAACACCTTCAATAGAATGTGTTCAGTTTGTAGTGCCTTCTCACGCAAATTCATTCTGTTGCTCACCAAAGGGTGGAATGGATTTATGCTATGTTTTGAGAGAACTGAATTCAAGATGTCAGTTTGGTGCTCTCGGTTGTGATTTGGAGAACTCATTCAAATGATTCATGCTAGCAAATTGCTAGTTGTAAAAGTTATGAGTTTGAAATGGGAAATAATCTAATGGAGATGGTTATAAATTTTAATTCGCATCCACGTGCTTGGGTACGAACGAGGACTGTTCCCCACACTCCCCTTCTTGCTTTCTGTAAGGACAAATGCTGATTCAATTATCTCTATGTTGAATAAAAGTTTCACAGAGCACAATCACGCAGAAGATCAAGTAGCTCTTTGAGAATATATACAAGACAAGAATGTACAGCCCAATCTGAGAAGTAGGTGACAATGAAATGCAGCTTAATCAGTGAAGCATCAAGCATGTCCACCTGCAAATGCACATCCCTGCAGAAACAGCTGTATGTAGCAGATAAAATAGATGAAGAAAATCTAGTGCTTAAACAACTCTTGATTCTACAAATTATCTGCTGAGGTGACCTGTCCCTAAATGCTCTTGCATTCCTTTCATTCCAGATAAAGTAGATGGCAGCCGAGAGTAGAAGCTTATGAGTGGTAAAGTGATTTGCCGTCCAATTTTGTGAACACCAAGCAATGAGATCAACCCAATTGTTTGGTTGAATATAAAAGCCTGCTACATGCTGAATAAACTCCCAAATGATGTTACTGTACCTACACTTGAAAATTCACTATCTAAAGAGTGACAAGCATTAGTGTAGTGCTTGTTCATCATGGGTTTAGAATCCAGAGTGTACAATCTACCCCTACAAGCTGGGGCGGAGCCAGTCAGTGTGTGCCCCGGGAACATGCTCCATGGCTTGGCCAGCTTTCTATAATACATATATTAAATTTATGTATTTTTATATATAGTGAAAAAATTCATATAATGCCCTTCCTAAAAAATTTATTTACTATATCTCTTAAATTTTGTATTTTTTCTTTTTGTTACTCTTTAAATTTGTTTAATTTCTTTTTTCTTTTTTTTTTTTTTAAAAAAATCAAATATTCTTTTTTAAATCAAAGTCCAATTTTTTCCCTTTCAAAATTTTCTCATTGATTGATATATTATTTTGAATAATTTTTCTTATTAACCTTTTGATTTGAAAAATCTATATTTATTGTCATGTTTATTGATGTTTTTTTTTTTTTTTTTCTTTTTTTTTTTTTTTTTTTTTTAACACTGTGGCCACGGATTAATTTCTGCCTCCGCCCTGCCTACAAGCCAGCCAAGAAATGAAGCTGTGCTTTGAAATATGATGCTTAAATCAGATGATTTGATTTACCACTACAAGCCAAACCAAGAAATGGTTGTCATCCTTTATTGGGACAACTAATTGGAAACCACAACTCACAGTATTTTAAGCAGCCCATGTTCACCAATTACAGGTGGTTTTTAAGGGTATGTTTTACCCAAATTATAACTTTAAAAAAATAATTAAAAAATAAATTATTGTGGAACCAATATATTTATGAGACGTGTGTTTGAAAAAATCAAAATCCCATAGCTTTATGCGGACATTTCATTGGAAGTTGAGTTGGAATGTTTTTTTTTTTTTTTTTTTTTTTTTTTTTGAACGGTAAATTAAAATATAAGTTGGAATGCAATTGCCTCTCGCCTCGGAGAAGGAATATGTTTTCCTCATATAGGGAAAGTTTTATTTATGATATAGTATTAAGAGTTGGGAAAAAATTCAAGCAATTTCCATAATTTGAATTCCTTTCTTTGGGAAAATATTGGGTACTCCGACCAATGGTGAGGGAGTAACAAAAAATTATTAGATAGTCATATTGACAGTAAAAGTTAAAATTTGAAAAAAATTGGTACAATTGCTTGTGTGTGACGATCAAGTGTTTAATTGTCCAAGATCATGTAAAAAGAGTCTCTTGTACCATCTGTAGTACAGTCTAATCAAAACTAATATTTAGAATCTTGATTGGAGTGAACCTCGCATTGTAAACCTACATTTTTTTCCTTCTCCTAATACAACAGAACTACCTTATTTAAGTTTCTAAACCAATATTACTACTTTCTTTTATAAAATACTTATCAAAAAATATATATATATATATTTACTGGAAAATATGAGAATTAAAATCTTAGAAGAACCAAAAATAAACATTCTGGTCATAAACAAAAAAAAAAATATTACCAATTTTTTTTTCAAAGATTTTTTTGGTAACTACCTTTTTTTTACCAGTAGGTCTTTGTATAGAAGACACAGAACTAATATAGCCTAAAAACCCTTTATGCCATAGACCCTTCTGCCGCTGGTGTGCTGCGAGAGAATGGGAAGGAAGAGAAATCAAAGAAAGCCAGCAATTGAAGGTGACGCATCGAATCTTCCATGTGAAATCATATGCACCATACTCTCAAAACTACCCGTCAAGTCTCTTCTGCAATTCAAGTGCGTTTGTAAATCATGGCGTGCTGCAATCTCCAAACCCCAATTCGTGAAATTGCATCTAAATGAATCAATTAAGTTGAACCGTCAAAAACTCTTTTGCTCGGAGATGTTGTCCGACCCTTTCTACTCCATAGGCTATGAAAGTTTTGATATTTCAGTGGAAAAACTAAGCTTTCCTTGTAAGAAGTATAGGAAGGCTGGAGTGGTGTGTACTTGCAATGGTCTAGTACTGTTGGGTCTTGACCATGACAAGATGTCTGTACTATGGAATCCATCTATCAGAGATTATAAAAAGTTCTCATGTCCACCTCACATATATGACAAATATAAGCCAAAAGGACTTTGCTATGATTCTTCCATGGATGATTACAAGGTGGTATTTATTTCTAAAGCTAATTTTTTTCGACCAGATGAATTTTTTTTTGTGGTTTTTAGTTTCAAAGCTGAATGTTGGAGCAAGGCTAGGAAATTCCCTTACTTGGGTTTTCGCGGTGCTACGATCAGTGTGAATGGTGTGTTACACTGGATTGCTTTTACACTAAGAAATGTCCAGGTGAGGCGAACCTCTCTTCCGATTCTTCTAGTTCGAGTTCATCAGATGGTGATGACAATGGTAACTACCCAGCTTTTATTCATCAATCCCAAGATTTTAGAATGGATACAGTCAGAACACCCTATACTCTACCTCCTTATTCTCGTTCCTCTTTATACAATTCAAACACCCATGTATTCGAATATGCGTATGATTTCACTAAAACATATGTGATTGTTTACTATGACATGGTGGATGAGAGGTTCAAGGAGATGCCACCACCAAAATGTATAAAAGAAGGTGATATATTTAGTTTGACGGTTATGAGAGGATGCCTTAGTTTATTTTGTAATTCCATTGATAAGAAACATGTTGTGGTGTGGACTATGAAGCAATATGGTGAGAACAATTCTTGGACCAAGTTCATTGTCATCCCACGTTGGGTTGAAACAACGAGACACTTAGATTACTTAACACCGTTGTGTGCTATGAAGAAAGGTGAAGTTGTGATGATGATAAATCTTGATAGTTTGGTCATCTATAATCCTAAAGAAAACTAGTGCAGGAGTATTGGGCTGAAAAAACAATGGAGTTCAAGAGTGGTTTTATACGTGGATAGTTTGGTTTTGCCCATTAGTACACCTCAACTAAAAGGAAAGAGGAAAAAGAGCTTGTAAGGAGGAAAATCAAATCATCTCTATTTTCTAGCTTCTCTACCATTTCTAAGTTAATTCTTGTTTTTTGATTGTTGTGTTCGATATTAGTTATCAAAAGAAATACATCTAGTTTTTCTTTTGGTAGAGAAAAAAATGAAGTAATCCATATGTTATTGTTGTATTAATTAGTTCATAATTTAGTGTAATTAGAATGACAGTTACCATTATTTGTAATAAATAGTGTCAACCTCAGACTATCAACTTATCTATATGTAGCTAAAGCATTGTAGTTAATTTGAGGGACTAGTGAAGATAATGAAGGCAGGCAATGGTAAATAGAAACAGGACTGAATTACATGTGTGTATAGCTATGTATGTTTTTTGGTGTTTATACTGTATGTAACTAAATGCATACATCTTGACAAAGTTTATATCTCATGCTGATTGATCTTCTATTCGACAATGTTATTTGCCTTTAATATTACCATAACCAACAAGCTATAAAAGTAAAATAGTATACTCTTTAGTGAGAAGCTTGGATAACTCTCTCAACATTAGAAATTACTTTTCATTCCCTTCCTACATAAAAGCACTTTTAAGTTTAATTTTAAATTTCTTGTATGATATTTTCTTTTCCCTTTCTCTCCTTTTCTATTTTTACAATGTGAAGCTTTTTTTTTTTTTTCTTCTTCTACCATGTCCAAACAGAGATAACAATTCAAGATACATGGCATGCACGCAATTGGCAAGCACGCACCAGGCTCTATACCTAGCTTTGCTTGAATGATGGAGATATCGGGAATTAGCAGAGAAATGATAAGTTTTGGTTTCGCTTTATGTTACATAGGGTGTTTATTTATTTATTTATTTTTCGATAATTAATTTATTTTTATTTTTTGCAGTAATGAAACTGTGATTTCTGAGGCACACTAGGAGTATGCCATTATTCTCGTCTTTATAATGGTTTAAAATAATTTGAACTTCTTGATATTTTGGCATTGATACTTCCCATGCACGGTCATTCTCATTTAGCGAGGAAAAGAAAGAAATTGTCTATTTTATCATCTTATGATGATAAGAAACACACTATATTTGACTCCTTCCAGATGTGTTTGTTTGTTTGTCGGAGGAGGAGAAGATAGTATTGTTTCCGTTCTTTGTCGCAGATCATTCTCTTGGCAAAAATCTACCAGTAACCACCCATTACAAACGGTGAAAGCCATATTTAAAAATGTGTTTTCATCCCGTGGAATGGAGTTGGCAATAATTTTCATACGTCCAAAGAATAAACAGAAAAACGACATTAAAATTAAGAGATATTAAAAAGGAAAAATAGAAATTGTTCATCTTAGTAATAATAGAGAAATCTATTAAGAGATGTAATGTAATATTTGAAGGAGTGCTCTAAAATAGAGATTGTAATTAGGTTGTATACCCTTTAATTGGGTTCACATTTTATTTTGGGAGATTGGATGTCTGGTTCATCCGGGGGAGAATTTGCACCTTATTGCTAGAGAGCCATGCCCCTTTTCAACTTGGTGAGATACTGAGACTAATTTTGTTGATTATGAAAATTGTACTAGCATTCTCTTGGCAAGTGTTTTTTGTTTGTCACAATCATTCTCTTGGCATAAATCTGTTAGTAACTAGCAGGGCCAGCCCTGACCCAAGGCGACCAACCAGGGCGGTCACCTAGGGCCTCAAGATTTATAGGGCCTCAAATTTTGCAAGCCCAAAAAAAAAAATTAAGACAATTGACTTAAAACTTGAAAAGGCCTCAAATATTAGCCCATCTTAGTATCTCATTGACAAAATTTAATACGAATAATACGATCATCTTATACCTTTTGCTTTGTCTTTTCTCTTTATGCCTTTTTCTTTAAAGTAGGCACACAACCTCATATATTTGCTCCCTGTTGGATAATAAAAATTTTATTTATATGTTTTCTGCCCTTTGAGTAGTCAAATCTCTCTTATACTTTGTATATATTTTATACATATGATCATCACACTAGCTACAAGCTTACAGTTAAGTGCAAACCAAACACAAAACATTCTGAAAAAAAAATACAGAACACTCTTGGTTGTTGGCTCCTCAGTTTCTTGTCTCGGATTTTCATAGATTAGAATGCATAAAGATCTTATAGAATTTTTGTTTGACAAATGAATATGTTATAATACTGGTGTTTCAATCTAGCAATCCTGAACTTGTAGTCTTAAGGACAAATCAATTAGAAAAACAAATCATTGCATTAAGGTAATATCTATATTTTATTTCAGCAACTTGGATCAATTCATTGCATTGCATTGAGGTAATATATATTTTATTTCAACAAAACAAGTATTTTTTTTTATTTATATAACTTCTATTTTATTTTATTTTATTATATTTTTGACAATTATGTCAACAAAAAAATTTGAATCTGGGCATGAAAAAAGAAAAAATAAATAAATAAAAAAAGAGAAGAAAGAAGAAGAATTGATTTAAGGGCCTCACATTTAAAGTTCGCCTACGGCCTCTCAAGATTTTTTCAATCTCAGGGCAGCCCTGGTAACTAGCAGTTCCAAATGGTGGCTATTTCGAAAAATGTATTTCATGACGAAAAAGGAGTTGACAGTGATTTCAATATGTCCTAAGAAGGTAATCTTCGCTATAATCAGAAAACATGGTATTAATTAAGAAATATCCAGCTCTATATATATATTGTTTGTAAACTTTAATAATTTGTGTCAAGTATTTATCACAAATAAACATAAATCCCAAGATCTTAGAACTTCATTATTTTCGCATGCCTATAATGCATAAATATATATAGTTAGATATATATACCTCGATCGATGATAGCAAACCTTGTTGAGATGAAGTTCAACATCGAGATCCTTTAACGACGAACTAAGCTGCAACTTTAAAAAAATAGGCAAAGCGTGGAAACTGATTTCTCTCTCTTGACCTTTTGCACATATAAAACTTTATACGTGTTATTTCATTAGCGTACATAATTGATGGGATATATGCACTTTTATAAAGATAGAGAAATGACCACTTTTCTTTTTACTAACCATAATTCCACTTTCCATCAAAGTATGTCTCCTTTATGAGATTATGCATATTACTTGCAATTTGCTACTAATAAATAGTTGATCAATGATTAATTGTTAATACTTTATGTATTTGATGAAGAAATAGTAGATTATTGATTAAGATGAAATGTTCTCCTAAATGTTTTTTTTTTTTTTTAGTAAATTACACTTACCTCCCCTGAAGTTTGGGTAAATCTCACATGGGTAGAGCATTTGAGGTTTATTACTCTAACTTCCCATATGACTTTAAAAAGTTAATTATACCCTTATATGTTATATATTTTTATAGTACAAAATATATTCTAAAATCTAAAAAAAAATCAATTATTCAATCTCATCTCTCTTATTACTTTCTTAATTTCTCCTCTCCACCACCGTTACCCTCTCCTAAAAAAAAATCTTGTAAACAAATAAAATATGTGTAAGGACAACTTGGTCATTTTATGAATTTTTTTTACAAATTTTGATGGAGGGGGAGGTTGTTGAGCATACACTCAAACCTCAACGGAGGTCAAAGTAATTAATCTTAAATGTTCCACTTGTGTGAGATTTGCCCAAAACTTAGGGGAGGTTAGTGTAATTTACATAAAAATGTCAGTGAGAGATATGGATGCATGTAATGTAACCAACTGCTTTTGATTTGGATTAGAGTAAGTTTAATTTAAAATTTGTATTAATTTTTTTTCAATTTCAAATTCAATGTGCCTATTTATTGTCGCCAAAATGTTTGAGTAGTGATACTCACACCGAATAATTGCAGTGAATTGTCTAATCGAATAATTTTTAATTGGCTATTTATACCAAATGCAACTAAGTGGAAGGTTCCACTTCCTTATTTGTTGCATAATTGACCAATTAAAAGAGTAGGTCTAACTGTTTACTCCATTATTTTTGCCCAATGGAAAGGCGACATGTGGAGAGTTCCAATGGAACTTACCATGTTGGATCACAACTCTAATAAGTTATTATTGGAAGCTATGAAAAATTATGTAGTAATTGAAAATCAAAGGCAAGTGGGCTAGTACAATCCTACCATGTGGGGTTCTCTATTTTAAAAGGAAAGAGGTGAGTCCTATTAGGACTTACCATCTTTAAAAAAGTAAGGGCCCACATTTTTCTATATGAAATGAATTTTACCACATATGGTGAGTTTCACTGAGCTTACCATAATCCGGACCATGACATATTAATTCTATTAAAGAGTTATTATCATGGTTTCAATAAATAGAGACTTACCTGAGGTTTAAGGCCAAAATCACCAAAGAAAGAGAACGTGGGGTTGATTTTCTCCTTGTTTTTAGGAGAATTCAACGACTGTTTAGCCAAGTCAAAGCAATATTGCAAAGAAGAAAGGAAGCGTGGGAACTTAATTTATTGTTATAAATATATTTAACCCATGATGCATTAACCACTGAGAAGAAGGAGTCCATGGCGCTAGGGGTTCTAAATTCAGATGAGGTGAGGCTGAAAGAAAGTGGGCTTCAACCACCACCCACGATGTCAAATCAATAAGAGAATAGAAGCTAACCACGACGTCGTGAAGGTCAGCCGAAAATGAAGGAGGCGTGGTCCATGGAAGGAAAGGGTGTGGGATGATTTTTATCAACGGCTGAACCTTTCCTTCAGAAGGGCCGAACCTTTGGTTCAGAACGGCCGAACCTTTCCTTCATTAAGTCAACTGTGTTTGCTGAAGAAGAGGGAAGTGGGTAACGGTTTAGAAAGGCATATATATATATATATGTGTGTGTGTGTGTGCGTATATATATATATATATATATATATATATATATATATATATATTAAAATACAACCCACGTTAAAGA